TTTAAAAGACAATCATTTAAAGTATTAGAGCAATATACTCCCAAATAATATGCTTTCTGTTTGATGTGTTTATTGTAACCTAGGAAGTTAAATCCATGTTTTGTAACCCCTTTTAACAGATAACGCTATTAATATGTGTGGGTAAGATATGAAGTTTAGTGTTGAATGAAAACTTGTGATAATTGCAGAACATTGAAAGGAATGAAAAGCTGTTATTTTGAACAGTGTGTGTTGTACGACACTTTATAGAAGTATTAACAAAATCTGGAAAGGATGTTCCTATGTGATAAATTGAAGCATCATGTTAATTTATGCACAAATTGAAGCATCATGTTCATTTATGCACGGAAAAGGAACCGTACAGGGCGTGGCCCCGCCCTGTAACCAATATCTGATTGGAACGATTGCTTCTGGGATGGACCAAATCGGCTCGCTTAAAACCAGATGGCTCTTTCACTCCATGGCCTTTTTTTCGCTCTTTTCGCCGTGCTAATAGCGCTCCAATTTGCGCTCACATGCTCACCATCGCGCGATCGGGTCATTCAGAACTCAAACACTCTGAAGAGTTCTGTCAGTCACGAAGCTTCAACGAAGCAAACAAAGAAACTCTGAGAAGAACTGCCAAAGCTTCTGCGTCACAAGGAAACCTCCAGTCACCACGAGGCTTCTCCCAAAAGACGTCATCCAAACGACAGATCAGCAGCCAATCCGCAGCCCCGGGATTCCCTCAAGCAGCCATCCAGGAAGCCTGTTGTCAGCTGTCAACTTGAACGCAAGTAACAAACAAATCCCCTTACTAGCTGGAAAACTGGTGCTGAATTGATCTTAAGCAGTAAAGATAAGACAAATCTCTGCTTCGTGATTCTCTCAGGTTGCAAGTTAAAGAACTGTAGCAAATATCTTACTAGATTTTGGGACTTCATGCAAACTCCGTTAATCATCCTTTGAACTGTATTTGTGTGTGTGTGTGTGCGTTTTCATTAGCGTAGTACCATGTAATCTATAGATTAGCTCAAATAAATTCTTGTTTCATTTATAAAGAAGTATTGTCTTGTGTCGTGTATTTTAAAGTCAAACTTTGCCCAGATCCTGTGTTACCTAGCTCGTAGCTTAATAATCATAACTAACAGGTATTATGACCGTGGCCAGGACATAATATATGTATCCAAATTGTTAAGATATACCGATTTTATCGTTCGCTGGACGAACAGTTGATAAAGTATAGGCTTTAAAATTTGGAATCAGTTCTAATCAGGTTGACTTTGAATCTTCAGATTCGGTTCCTCTCAAAACCTGAGCCAAAATATTAATAATTCCTTACATTTATTTATAGAATATGATGAGTCAAAATGATACATTATAGGCATTTCAACTGCTCCAGAAACCAGTTAAGATTTACAACAAAAAATGTTTGCACTGGTCTGAACAAAAACAGCAGACAGGCTGGATAAATGTGTGAATCCACTGTCTGTCAGTAGGTGGCGCTTATGGAACAGCAGTTTCCACAGTAACCTCTGTAAATGTAAATGGAGCCCCAGCACTGCACATTTTGAATTTCACCTTTGGCTGACACTCATGTCAGGTCTTGGAGTCTAATTAATTGAATCTGGTGTGTTTTATTAAAGAGAGATTGCTTTATTACATTAAGTAATGTACAATGAGTACATTAGCAAACATTTACAAGCACATTATCTCATATTTGTAGTTAAAGGACTATATATTAACTAATGATCTGTTAATTATTGTTTGTTAATAACTTATTAATTAAAGTTATTATAAAGTGTTACCAAAAGTACTTATATAGCCAATTTGAGACAATAAAATGGATAAGAAGATAAGAAATCACTGAGGGAAGATCTGGACAGTCGTCCACAGCTCATGACAGATTTAAAGTTCAGTAGCTCTCTCTGATACTGACAAGTCCAGTCTCCTGGATGTAAGTGCTTCCCTGAAAGCCAGCTTTTTGGGAGGGTTAGTTGAGGTGGGAGGATCTGCCAAGTACCTGCGGAACACTAAATCTTCAAACCAACAGTCCAGAGTAACAATGCATCACAGTGAAACCTCAAGATTCGAACAACTCACTATGACTCAGCTGGGCCAGTTCATCTACCCTCAGGTATTTGAGCAGAAAACTGCAACTCATGTGGTCACAGCTGTTCTGTACGGAGCTCAGGCCTTCATGGTGTTTGATCGGTCATTTGTAGAAGATGAAAACAGGCAGGAGATTGAGGGAGAACTGAATGTCATGGTCAAGAAAATCCCTGGATTTTCCATTGAGGGACAAGGAGCTGTAGAAATGAAAGATGAGGATAAGAAAAAGGCTGAGAAAATCACCTGCACATTTCATGGTGATGTCCATCTTGAGCAGAACCCTACCACGTACATAGAGGCCCTAGAGGTGTACAAGAAGCTCCCCTCTCTGCTGAGGAAGAATCCACAGAATGCAGTGCCAATAAAAGTATGGCTCTATCCTCTTTCTCTTCTGGATTCAAAAGCAGCTCAGTTGGTGAGAGAAATCAGCACGCAACTCATTTCCAACACTGAAGATACAATAGAGAAGCTGGGAGAAGTAGAGAGGCGATGCAAAGACCTGTCCAGAAGAAAAATGGTACAGTTTTTCAGTGACATCAAAGAGAGGCTGGACTCATTTCAGAGTTCATTTAGCATTTATAAGATGGTGCTCCAGAAAGCACTGGCCAGAGTCTTGCCTGCTATTCGAGGAGGAGGGATGGAGGAAAAGTCACTGGCAGACATCCTGAAGATCCACTACCTTTCCCCTTTTAATGCTAGCATGCTTAACCAGTGGTTACATGACACAGAGTTACAACTTCACCTCTTGAGTGTTTACACCAAGACACTGAAGGGGATCCAAATTGAAGATTCAGACAGTCTCTTCAGCCTCCTTGATCCTGATATTGATGTTGTGGTGTGCTTGACCTTCACATCTCTGAAATACAAAGACCCATATCTTTCAGCCCTGAATGAGTTTATAAAATCTGACCCCTTTAAAGAGTTAGACGGGGAAAACAAGTTTTCCCTGACATCTTCTGTCCAAAAATCATTCAACCCTCATGATTTCTCTTCAAAAATGAGAGAAAATGTATCTCACTTCAGAAGTTTTTCAGAGGCCAATAAAGATGAAACGAGAATGCGCTTCATTATTTCTGCAATCTCTGATTCCTCCAGTCCAGGCTCCTCTATCTATCTGTATGAAAAAGGGAATCTCACAGATACACAGTTCCAGCCAGTGTCCAAGCCGCCCACACCAGTAGTGAAGAATGTTCTGGACCAAACTGTGTCCCTGAAACTGCAGAAGTCCCCGACTGGAGAAACAGTGAAGTATAGAGTAGAGTACCAGCAGATGAAAGCAGATTCTGGAGCTGAGGAACAGTGGCTTGTCGTAGACACAGCTGATGAAGACTTTACTCTGACTGGATTGATATCTGGAAAGCAGTACCTGATCCGCTACAGGATAGTGGGTAAAGTGGGAGTGAGTGAAGCCAGTGATTCTGTCAGCCCTACACTCTCTTCAAGTAAGTGTCATCTGCACATTTTTATAAATACTTTCTTTTTTTAAATTTCCTCAAAACATTTGCAATATTTAAACTGTCAGTATTTAGAATTATGTTTGGGACTGTATTAAACAGGTGTAACTACCAAGCTGTCCTGTTCATACAGCAGCATATACATTATTTGAACAGCTACCACCCATTAGGTCTATGAGGTACACAGTGGGGATAGTACTTACTAACAAAGGCATAATCAAGATGACACCACTCAGCTGTGGGTGATAAGAATGAGAGAAGGTCAGGGTTTTGCTAGGTCTGTGTGCTTGCCATGCATGTATTAATTTCCTCTGCTGTGGAGTCTTTCTCTGAATTGTTACTGGAATTTACTTTATTTTTGTTCCACTATTCTCACCACCATTTTAAAAATCGAACAGAGGCTCAACAGCCAGACACCAGTATACGTGAGTGTCCTCTTTCTGGTTCTTTCCTAGCTGACACATGTATACCAACAGGGTTCCATCCCTGTAAAAAAAATAAAAATAAAACAGCATATGCTTGTTAGGTACGTATGTATTGAGGCATTGGAGGTGGGTTAAGCTGGTCCTTAGTTTATCATGAGCTGGTTTAAGCTGGTCCTGAGCTGGTCTTGAGCAGGAGCTAGTTGCTTAGGACCAGCACATGCCCAGCTCAAACCAGCCCACCAAAGACCCAGCTAAACCCAGCTGCCATGCTTCAAAACATACCTAACCAGCATATGCTGTTTTCTTTTCAACAGGGATATCATAACAGATGTGAAGGAGCTTTGTTGTCACACTAGGTTTTACCTCAGTTGACCTGCCGTGAGTCCAAAGGAGGCTCAAGTTCCCCTTCAGGAACTCGAGCTGCATCGAGTCGCTTTGGGAACGCCCTTGCGTGACCGAGTTCTGAAGCACGTGTCAAATCTGTCCAATGGAGCAGCGAGACGTCACAAGCAGGGTGACGTAAGCACCAGAAAGCATAAAAGCGCATCCGGCCGGGCGCCACCCAGCTTCTGCCCTTCAGTAGCGCTCTGTGTATGTGTCTGTTTATTTATTGTTGTCTGTTCGCACAAGCACTCATATATATAAAACAATGAGAAAGTCTATGGCGAGCGAACGGCATTACAAACGCTGTGTTTCTCCCTGCCCACGATATCTGGCGGCAGGGGATACACACGATTTGTGTGTCGTTTGTTTAGGAGCGAAGCATGCACGGTCAGCTTTCGAGCAGCTGATTGTCATCACTGCGAGCTCTCGCTGCGCACGCTCCGCTC